TTTAGATTATACCCAAGGCTTCGTTATCCCTAATCCCGCCTTTAAACCCGCAATTATAGATTCCTCTAATAATCTAGGAGTGGTGTTGTTCAACAATACCCTAAATATGCACTCTTTTCCAAGTTATAGCACACTAAATAGGCACAGCTAATTGAGGATCCTGTCAATTAACTACAACGAACACGAAGTTGAACAAATAAAGATTAAACTAGCAATTTGTATTCACATAAACAAGAAGTTCATCACCCAATAGGTTCCATCAAAGCCTTAGACAAGGAATTTAGCTACTCATAGATATGGGAGAATAAACTAACACTTGAATTCATCATAAAAATCAAAAGAAAGGAATAAAGATGTTTAGAGTACTTGCTCCCAATTGTATTCCTTGCTAAGAAACCTAAAAAATCAATACATGCCTCTCTTGGGCGAAGTCTAGTGTTTTAAATAGGGTTTAGGTCTAAAAATCCCGTGTTTTACACTTAAGTCCCTGAAGTTTACTGTGCCCACCGCGGTTCTACCGCGGTCGCGGTAGAACCGCGGCCAAACGCCCTCGCGGAATCTTCAACTTTCAGAAACTGCCTTCCACCGCGGTTTCACCGCGGTCGCGGTAGAACCGCGGTGGAACTTATACCCGGAAATTTTGGCCTGTTTTGAATGGGATACTTGGGAAATTCAACAATTGGCCTTTTTTCATCAATAGTTGACTACAAAACCGCTCCTTAGCCTTCCTTACACCTATATCACCTGCAAATCATGAAAAGCACTAATAAGAGCATTTTGTTGTCATTTTTCCACATTAAAAGTTCACAAGAAGGTGATTATTTGGTGCGTGATTATAGTCAAATTCACCTATTATCAGTTTTCATGGTCGATCAAAAGGATTCATAACACATGAAGCTCATGACCGTACATCATTGTAATATTTGATGTTTTTCCGCTTCTGAACTTCTATCTGGTTAGATTATCCTTCTTAAAGATGAACAATTAGGTCTCCAGTGCCTAGTGGTTCTGAAGTAAAATCCTTATTAAATATAGTAATAATCTTATAAAGACTTTTATATTTCATTTACCGATATTTTGTACTCCACTATTATATTTTATATCAATCACCTATAAAAAAAATCATATAGCTAAAAGAATATTGGTAATGAGTCGTAAAATTGATCTACTCGTAATTTGTTCTTAACAAGATAGCAATTAACCAAATTGACAAATATATAAATTAAAAAGTAGAGTGGTTGGAAGATTAATGATCACAATGAGGTTAGGACACAAAAGAAAAAACCTCCAGCTAAGAGAGCGTTGCTTCATTTAATCCTCTCATCTGCCCTCCATTTATTTCCCTTTCCCTCTACTCTATAAATCTCCACATTCTTCCCCTTCTTCTCTTAGCTCCATCACCAATAATATTCATATTCATATTCATCATCTCTTCACTTGTTTTGTTTCCAAATCTCCTAGTTGAAGACAAAATGCCAGAAGTAGTCCCAAATTTCTCTAATTCAGTGAAACTCAAATATGTCAAACTTGGCTATCAATACCTTGTTAATCATATTCTAATATTTTTGTTTGTCCCTATTATGGTTGGTGTTACCATAGAGGTATTAAGACTTGGCCCTGAAGAACTGCTAAGCATTTGGAATTCACTCCACTTTGATCTTCTTCAAATCCTTTGCTCTTCTTTTCTCATTATATTCATAGCCACTGTTTACTTCATGTCCAAACCTCGATCAATTTATCTAGTAGATTATTCATGTTACAAAGCTCCGGTTACCTGCCGAGTCCCATTTTCAACTTTCATGGAACACTCTAGGCTCATTTTGAAGGATAATCCCAAGAGTGTCGAGTTCCAAATGCGTATTCTTGAAAGGTATTGTTAGATAGTTTGTAATACAGCCTCGCTTGTTCTGATTTTTTTTTTGGTTGCTATAGTGAAGTATTGTTATAGAAAACATATATTATAACATAATATAAAAATTGATTCTAAGAAAAACTTGACTTTTATAGGGAATAACGGTTTTATAGGGATACCGTTATAGAGATGTCTGACTATATGAAGTAAGATTATCCAACAAAAATAAGCTTGAAGACTTTATATATTATAAACAATACTTTAAATCATGGGTCACGAGTTCAAGCCATGGAAGCAGCCACTAATGCTTTTATTAGGGTAGGCTGTCTAGATCACACACCTTGGAGCGGCCCTTCCCCGGACCCTACGTGAATGTAGGATGCTTTCTGCACCGGACTGGAAAAAAATGATATTTTAAATCTTATTTGAAACTTGAATTTAAATATACATATAAATTTAGGTTTTACATTTGAAAGAACATGTCTGTTCATGAAATAACACTTCTTTTCTGAATAGTTTTCTTTCAACTCTACAAGTTCATGCCTTTCTTTGAAAAGTGGCTAAGTCTATTGTTGGGTGTGCGAATAAAGTTCCACAGTGATAGTTGAAGGGATTGGGAGCCTACATATAAGGTATAGGGATCTCTTAATTGTGTGAGGCTTTTTGGAAAAAACCATGCGGGCTTGGCCCCAAGCGGATAATATCGCACCATGTTAAGAGTATCTTTGAGCCGTGTTAGCCCAGCATATATTTTCCTGATAGATAATCTCTTTAAAGTTATTTTAACGTCTCAAACCCTTTCTTCTTACTTAGTAAATTTTCTATTTTTTTTTCTAACAGGTCTGGCCTTGGAGAAGAAACGTGCTTGCCTCCTGCTATTCATTATATCCCTCCAACACCAACTATGGAAGCTGCTAGAGGTGAAGCAGAGGTGGTCATATTCTCAACAATTGATGACCTAATGAAGAAAACAGGGCTCAAGCCCAAGGATATCGACATTCTTATTGTCAACTGCAGCTTGTTTTCTCCAACTCCATCTTTATCAGCTATGGTAGTGAACAAATACAAGTTAAGAAGTAACATAAAAAGTTACAATCTTTCTGGTATGGGATGTAGTGCTGGTTTAATCTCAATTGATTTAGCTAGAGACCTTCTTCAAGTCCATCCAAATTCAAATGCTTTAGTTGTAAGCACTGAGATTATCACACCTAATTATTACAAAGGTTCAGAGAGAGCAATGCTTCTACCAAATTGTTTATTCCGTATGGGTGGTGCAGCCATACTGTTGTCCAACAAAAGGCGCGATAGATACAGAGCCAAGTACAGATTAATGCACGTGGTCCGAACACATAAGGGTGCAGATGATAAGGCTTTTAGATGTGTATTTGAACAAGAAGATCCACAAGGGAAAGTTGGTATTAATTTATCAAAAGACCTTATGGTTATAGCAGGAGAAGCTTTAAAATCCAACATTACTACAATTGGTCCTTTAGTTCTTCCAGCATCAGAGCAACTCCTTTTTCTCCTCACATTTATTAGTCGGAAAATTTTTAATCACAAGTTGAAACCTTATATTCCGGATTTTAAACAAGCGTTTGAACATTTTTGTATTCATGCGGGTGGTCGGGCTGTTATTGATGAGCTTCAAAAGAACCTACAATTGTCTGCTGAACATGTAGAGGCATCAAGAATGACATTGCATAGATTTGGTAACACTTCATCTTCTTCACTATGGTATGAGATGAGTTATATTGAGGCTAAAGGGAGGATGAAGAAAGGTGATAGAGTTTGGCAGATAGCATTTGGGAGTGGATTTAAGTGTAACAGTGCTGTTTGGAAATGTAACAGAACAATAAAGACACCAACTGATGGACCATGGCAAGATTGCATTGATAGGTATCCAGTCCACATTCCAGAGATTGTCAAGATCTAAAAATAAAACCTATATATATTATGAAAAAGAAAATATATCAGGATGTTCATAGACCTTGGTCAGTTGGTCTCTGTTAGTAGTATGCTATATATGGTGGTTTTCTTTTTCTTTTTCTTCTTCTTTATTTTTTTTTTTACCGTAACATGTTAATTGAAAGAGAAATGTTCGGACAAAATAATGTCAATTCAGTTTATTTACCAAAAATTCAGTTTACACTACTAGAAAACTGGCAAAATTCGTCCACAGAATACCGATCGAAGTCGGTCGAAAAAAAAAAACCGACCAAAATCGATCGGAATTTAAGTAAATTTGGTCGCAAAAGTCAAAGAAAATATTTCTCACATTAGAACTAGTGTTCCCACAGCAAAAAAATAAAATTCCGACCGGTTTCGGTCGGAACTTGGTCAATATTTGACCAAGACCTGGTCATACTTGTATATTATCTACAAAATAAATATTTAATAAAATTTTTCAAAAATTCCGACCAACTTCGGTCGGAATATTTGAAATTATGCTTTTCCACCCAAGACAATTGGTTTTTAATATAACAAAAATTATATATATTTAATTTACCAACCGGAATAAGTTATAATTACATATTTCCGCCCGAGTTCGGTCGGAAACACAATTTTAAAATAATTAAAATATAAATTTAATAATATTACCGACCGAAGTCGTCGGTTTTTGTCAACCTTTATATATNAAGGTTGAGTTAAAACTTCTGACAAATTCTCCTTCTCTGTGAAACACCTCAAATGTCTTCAGAACATCTTCTTTCACAATATGCCAGCATCTTTTGAAGAAACACATATTAAAGCCATCTGGACCAGGAGCCTTATCCCCTTCTACCATTTTAACTACTCTTGTTACCTCTATTTCATCAAAAGGTCTCTCCAACCACTCTTTCTCTTGGTCACTGATGCTAGCAAGTTCTGAACAATTCCATGAAGGTCTCCAGCTCTCTTTTTCTGAAAAAAGATCTTTATAGAACTCAAGTATGTGGTTTCTAATCAAATTTTTGTCATCAGTGAAGTCCCCATCTATTTCTAGCTTATCAATCCAATTATATCTCCTATTTGAATTTGCTATTTTGTGAAAAAATTTTGTGTTCTTATCCCCTTGCTTAATCCATAAAAATCTGGATTTTTGCCTCCAATGTATCTCTTCTACCTTAGCTATGTGATGCAACTCATTTATTAATGCATTTTTAGCAGGTTCTTCTTCCTCTGTGTTACTATCATGATTATCATTTTGCTGCTCCTTACATTTGAGTTATTAGATCTTTAAGATTAATTTGCAGCCATAGGATACATGGGTACAACTTTTCTACCCCTTTTGAGCCACTACCCATGTCGAACAGCCTCTCCAATTTCCTGAACTCATCTTCTTCTTCAAATTTCATTTCATATCCTCCGTTGAAGAGCTCGACACTAAATCAATACCATTCTCTTACTCATCTAAACCCAAATTTTATTGCATATAACCTTTTCTCTCTACCTCTTTAAAGTTTTTTTGAATTTTGTTTTGAAGAATCAAGATGCATTAAGGATTATTTGAATCCCCAGATTTGGCTAGAGAGGAACTTCCTCTTTTCCATTCATCTTGCATGCACCTATTTGAGTTCTCTTAAGGCACTCTAAAAGATCAATGAAGAAAAATACTTCTTGATGGTTTAGACTAAAAACCATAGCAAAGACAGATCTCTTCTCTTGTGGTAAACTTCTTACTCAAAATATATTGATAAAATAGTTAAGATTTTAGTTAATAAACTAGAGACATTGAGAACTAAGAATTCATCTCGTTTTTTAGTGTAAAACATTTAGCAAGTCGACAATAACTTTCTATTTCAAACTCGGGTTGACATGATTCAAAATTCTGTAGAAAACTAAGACAAACTTTAGTGAAGACCAAAGGATCTAATTCCGATGTTTACTGTGTAAAATAGACCAAAGCTCAGGGCATAGATGCTGCCTAGATTTTTTGGCAATAAGAAGTAGGAACACTTTTGACCTACTGTGAGGTTTTGCCCTTGGGTTGTGGATACACACAACACAATGCTTTGGAAGCTTGTTCATTTACTTCATGTAATAGTTAGCATACTCATTGTAGTTAGTTGTAGTGCTACTCCTCTTAGTTTTGGTTTTGGACAAGTTGTAAACATTGGATTCGATTTTGGATTGATTTATATATATAGTAACCATAGGCACCCTGCCTAGTGGTATATTTGCTAATAAAAAAAAGAATCACCTATATGGATTTTTTTCCTTCCATTGTACCCAATTTAGCTAAATCTGCATCGATTCCAAATTATTTAATAAAAAAAATAGAAGTCAATGCTTTTCACTTATCATTTGGGAAGTATATAGGTCCTCAATCAATACCAGAGAAACAAACAGCTTGAGGTAAAATGAAATTGCTGTAAAGCTGCAGGGATCCAAAACCAATAGAATTAACACCAATAAAGCAAGCCAACGATATCCAATTTTTTATGTCTTCAAACTAAAAGAGAGCAAGTATCTGCTTGTCACGGAAATAAGAAAATATCGGCCATAGAAATCTAAAAACACACCCTAGTTATACAATCTTCCCATGCCCTTATCAAAGCCACAAGTTCAGTACCCACGGGAAAATCTCAATACTATCATAGCACCAAGGGAAACAAAAAACAACACTTATTAAGATCAGTGCCCAAAAGCCAGATATCTCACCAAAAGGATCCCACTAAGAGGTAACATGGGAATTGATTCAAATGGCCTGGTTTCATGATAAAAACTGCAATAATCTATCATTTTGAACAATAGTAATCACTAGGGTTAACAAAAAAAGCAAGATATTTCGTTACACATCAAACAACAATACCATTGTGCCAAATCTTAGTTGAATCGATTATCTAATGATCAATGAGTTCCAAATTTAAACGATATGTAGTATAAACGGGAAACATTGGCAAAGCTAATTCCCAAAGGAAAAATGTTATTCATAAAAATAAAATTATGAGAACATGTTTCATATAAAAGAAAGAGAAAAGAGAATCTTATAACAGACCTTCCAAGTGCAAGCAAATTACCAAACGAAAATGTTATTCCAAACTTGATCGGGTTGAAGAAAACCAGCATTGACTGTCATAAAGAGAAGAATGACATCTACATGAGATCTTATGCCCATCAACGAAAGAGATCAAACTGTAAAACTGAAAATGATTATACTATATGAAAAGATTTTAGACTGTCCAAGAAAATAAGTTAGCAAGTGAACACTTCACAGAAGAACAAAAGAAGAACTAACAAGCTACATATAAAGAACATTCATTGTATGTTATTCAACACAAAATCCTTAACGATTAGATGTCTTAACTTTAAGCATTAGTTCTGAACAAATTTGTCTACAAGAAATTATTGCTGGTGCACGCAATACATGCTATAATAATACATCCTATAATTTATCACCAAAAGACTCAATTGCAAAACGTTACCTTTCAAAAGAAATATAATTTGTTAACACAAGCAAGAAATACATTGGTCAAGGACATAAGTCCTCAGCATAAATATGAAGAGGTTACAAAAGAAAAAGCTAGCCACCTTCACTCCTATAATACATTTGAAAAGCACCAAATTCAGAAACCCTCCTAAGCTTAATACTACCAAGAAATAAACCCATTCTGCTTCCACAAAAAAACATAAGAAATGGTATATGCCAATAGATTCTTGTCTTCAACAGGGGAACCACGACGCATCCACTAATGCTTGCATTAGGGTAGGCTATCTACGTCACACACCTAGGGGTGCGGCCCTTCCCCATCGTGAATGTGGGATGCTTTGTGCACCAGGCTGCTCTTTTTATTCTTGTCTTCAATCAGAATAAAATCAGAATAGACGCAGAGTAAAGCTCATAGCCATCTCTTTCGTGATGACCCAATCTGGTCGTTTAGAATTCTAGCAACTCATTATGCGATTTGAGACCTCGAGTAGGTTCATATGATGTTCTATGAATTTCATGTATGCTAGGTTTGAATCCCAAGAGGTTCGTGAGTGAATTAAAAGACTTAGTTCCTTTTGAAGTGTTTAGTTAGAAGAGTTGACCAAGGTTTGACTTTTGGGTAAACGGACTCGGAATCAGGATTTGAAGGATCATGTAGGTTCGTATGATGATTTTAGACTTAAAGGTATGTCCGGATTGGGTATTGGGCGTCTCGAGAAGGATTTGACACCATTTTTGGAAAGTTGGCAGTTTGAAGAACTTAAGAGTTCAGAAGTCTAACTAAAGTTTGCCTTCTGCTTTATTATATTCCGTTTGGTGTTTTGAGTATTTGGACAAGTCCATGTAGGGTATTTGGACTTGTAGGAATGTTTGGATGGGGACCCGAGGGTCTCGGGTGAGTTCCGACGCGTTTGGAACAACTTTTGGAAGATTAGAGTTGTTAAAACATTGCTTTTCTGCAACTAGCCTGACTGTACAAGAGCATATCTCCCAATCTATAAAAAAATTTAAGATGGGTGTTTTGATGAGATTGTAGCCCCTTGCGTCTAATTTCTGGTGATTCAAACCCTTTGTCATTCCGACATTTCTACAAAGAGTTATGACTATTTCCCTAGAACATAGCAGTGCAGATGTCTACTTGTGGTTGACATGCGGCTCCGCATGTGAATTTTGCAGCCCACATGAGGGTTTAGTAGAGCCCGGGGCATTTTTGACAGCATTTTCCAGAAACTATTAAAGGCCGAGTTCTGTGATTTTTCTTTCATTTCCGCACATTTGGAGCTCGGTTTTGAGAGGTTTTGACCTAGATCTTCATCAACAAGCTTGGGGTAAATGATTCTGACCTATATCTATAATTTATAAACAAATCTATCACTAGACTTGACATCAAAACATGTGATTGAACAAGAGAAATTGGAGTTTTAATCTAAAACTTCAGAAAATAGATTTTGTGGTTTTGAACACCGATTTAGACTCGGATTTGGAAACTAATTACATATTTGAACTCATGGAGTCATCTGTCAACGGGATTCAACTTTGGACCCAGGTTTTGACCGTTTGAACCCTAGTTGACTTTTTTGTTGACTTTTAATATTTGACTAAAATTGAAGCTTTATCATTTGGAACTGGTTTTATAGCTTTGTTTGACCCAGATGAGTATTGTATGGGCTAGATTGGACTCGATTGATGAATTTGGAGCTAGAAAAGACATATTTTGAAGAACAGAGCTAGCTAGGGATGAGGTAAGTATCTTGTTTAACCTCGACTTGAGAGAATGTATTCGGAAATGGACTTACGTGCTACATGCTAGGTGTTTGAAGGTGACATATATGAGAAGTGAAGAGCGTATAAGGGAGCACCAAGGCTATATCATGCTCGCGGTAGACTTTAGGCATCTTTATGCCTTGTTTGGTTGTGTGTTCTTCTTGACCTATGCATTATTTATCGTATGACTACGTGAGCCTATTTATTCATGCTAGAAATGATGTTTAGTCTTATGACATCTTGTTTGGGCAGGATGGGCTATTCTTGAGATGGTTGATATACTAGATTTAGTTGTAGTCATACTCTATATCATGAGCACACATCCGTATCTTTATTTATTATGTCCTTATGCACCTTATTGGTTATTTCTTAAGCATATGCATACATCTTTGGAGATGAGAACTTGATAAGGATTGATATGATTGTGGCATATTTGAACATTATGAGCCGACTAATATAGTAATAGCACGAGGTTTATGTCGTGCTGTTATTGTTCTTGCACGAGGTTTCTGTCGTGCAGCGTGTGGATACGGACAGTGTTGTATAAAGCGAAAAACTCTAAAAAGCGTTCTAAGCCGGTTGGGGCTTTAAGCGCAAAGCACAACTAAAGTGCGGTCTTTGGTAAAAAAAAAAGTGCAACTAGGAAAAAATTTAAAATACATATGTAATTCAAGAAAAAAGAAACAAATTCACTCCTAATGTTTTCCTCAGCGATTTATACACTTATTTGCTCATAATATTTGTTGTTTAGTACTGCTAAGTTGAAGATAGAACTCATGGGCATTGAGGCAGACGCCTTAGTGCCTTGTTCACACTAAACCACAGCTTAAGAGAGGCGAAGCGCCCTCCTTGAGCTTTTCTGAGCTTCAAGGCTTAAGCGCGCCTTATATGAGCCTTTGACAACACTAGATACAGATCCATCCCTCTAGGGTCTCCCTCCCATGTTTCTCTGTTGGTGGCCTACACGCAGAGTTTGTGAGACACTGATGAGTGTCAGATTATGATGGTATTGGTTGATGAATTGGGCGTAAATGTGGATGCTTTGATTACTTAAGTGAATCATTTACGTCATATCATGCATTCTAAAAGTTTTGTGCATGTCTTCTAAATATGCTACTTGATGCTTCTATTACATGCATTCGACATATGCACATTCATACATTTTACATATGCATGGGATTTGTTAATGAGACACTTAGAGGGTGTCAGGATGATGTATATGTTAAATCATCATCATGCATAGACATTTTAGAATTATGTAGGAGCATTGGTACAAATGCTATTTGGGAATTGATGTGAAATTGGGTTCTTATCATGCATAGACACTCTACATCCATGTAGAAGTATTCGAGATAAAGCTACTTGGAGTAAATCTCCTTTATATGTGGATTTGGTGCATTTGTATATCCTCTGATCTGGTTCTTTAGAAAAGCATGTTGATTACCTCCTCCTTTTATTATGCACCTTATTATAGATATCAGTTGTTCCTTGGCCGTTTCTTGGCTATTTCTCTGTTATTCTATATGCTTATGCGCTGCACAAGCTATATAAAGTGAGTATCTTTTGACTAAACGTCGCCGCTATTTCGTTGAGGTTAGTCTTGATACTTACTCAGTACATGGGGTCGGTTGTACTCATACTACACTTTTGCACCTTACGTGCAGATTTTGGGAGCTGAGCTATTGTGTAAGCGGAAGGCTAGCATTGAAGATGTACCAGCGCTTCAGTTGCAAATTATCATTTTGTTCATGGTAATCTAGAGCTCGTATTTCTATTTATGTATATTCCACACAGATGAGTATTTTCTTCACACCAACAGTGTAATCTTATTCTTAGTCGCTCATGACTTGTATTTTCAGTTCTTGGTATAGTTATATTAATCTTTGCACACTTATCTTATTATTCATTTCATGATCTTCAGTTAAAGTTGTATTTATGTTGGTCGGCTTTCTTAGCTGGTTGGGTTAGGCGCCATCACAATTTCTTTGGGATTTGGGTAGTGACAAGTTGGTATCGGAGCTCTAGGTTCATAGGTTTTACGAGTCAAAAGCAAATGTCTAGTAGAATCTTGCAGAAAGGTACAATGACGTCCATACTTGTCTTCGAGAGGCTACGGGACATCTAGGTAACTTCTCTTTCTTTCTTTCCTTATCGTGCGACTTTTTTTAGTTTGAAGTCTAAATCTTCAGTTTCTTTCAATGAATTCGTATGCGATGATGAGAACTCGATATCAGTTGGGCACCGGCACTAGTGATGATGTCGCAGATGTGGTATGAGATGATTTCCCATGATATGAAGGCAAGCTAGTCTAGAGGACTTGTGGCTAGGTATGGACCGCAACTTTGGCTCAAGGGACTAAGTTAAGTGAGCATGTGATTTTGGACTCTTTTGTCCGTTAGTGTCCCTAAAAGTGGGAGTGATGGCACAGTGAGCGGTAAGATAGCTATGCTTCCACAATTGGTTGCTCGGAAATTGAGCGGGTGCCTCATAGCCTTAAAGAATAATGGAGAGGCTATTTCCAAGGGAAGTGATAGAGTTAACAAGGTAGCTATATAATAAGTGTTATGGGCCTAAGGACTACACTTAGAGGGTTTATACGTAACAAGAAGGTTTTGCTTGAGATAAAAAACAAATGTGGACATCTGATCATCATCTCGGTGTGCAGTGCAGTCTTAAGGTTTAGATGTATTGATGGACTTTTCAGTTGTTCTTTAGTGGGATGAAACATATTCTTACATCTTGTTGAGGGTGTAGACTCGAGAGGATCAATTAATTACCTAGAGGTTGTAACCATGGTAAGGTCACAGAAAGATGTTGCGTTGGGGCTAAATAGGTGGGCTAACTCCTGTGATGAGGTCCAAGGTTATGTGATATCTGA